ATCACGAGGATTGTATGAAGAAAGGCCTCTAGTCTGGTTACATGAATTATGCCTGACCTAACCCCCCTGAACTGGACTTCGTTATCCTTTCTAAAAAAAAAAAAAAAAAAAAAAAATAGATTGTAATATACTATAACTAATTTTATTGAAAATATAAAGATTATTGATATAAAGATTATAAAAAATAGGTTTAATAAAGTTTTGCATATAATATTTAATTGTGATTAAAAATAAAATAAAATATATTATAATAAAAATACAAATTATATCAAGTAGAATTAATTTCTAAATATTCAAAAATTTATATTTAAAGTTGTTCAATTTAACTTAGTTAAATTTTTATAAATATTAAAAATTAACATGTGCTGAAAATTAAAATGTAATAAGTTAAAAATTTGTACAGCATATGCTATATATATATATTACAATTAATAATATAAATATTACTAATGATGCTTTTCATATAATTTAAATTTTATAAACCATTAGTTTCGTTTGAAAACAATATTTTTCGAATGTTTACTTACTGTTGATTTATGCTAAAATAAATATACAGCATATATATACAGTCTATACTTCTGTTAAATTTTATTTCTTCATTTTGCACGCTGGATTTAATTACCTAGTTAATATTTATTCATCCATGACTTGATTCCAGAAGCTTCTGCTCAACATAGCACATCACGACTAAGTTTCTGATTTTCAATGACAGATATAATCCATCTGATCTGAAAAAAATTTTTAAAGAAAAGAAAGCCCTTCCAAACCTGAAAATACGAATAGGCAATGATTTTTCTTATGCGTGTTAAATTCTTAATCTCCCTAAACATTATTTGTATCAAATTATTTTCTAAAATAAATTATCATTTCAATTCTACGTTTCAATTGTTTTCCTTAGATTTACTGTCGAGGATATTATAATTTGAAGTACGATCAACATCAAATTTATTTTAACTATATTAAAACGTGGAATTTGCTCCAGCTTTTAAGCATTCGTGTTTTTTTTTTTTTGTTTTTTTGAATGTCATGTAAATAAACCTTTCATATTGCAACACAAAAGCTTACAAGACATTCTTCGTGAAATTATAAGAATATGAATTGAACATTTAATGGATTCGCAAAATATTTAATAATAATCCCAGTTCCTTAAAGTAAAATTCTAATTATTCGTCGTTACAGTCAACTTATTAGAGGAAAAAAAGAACAAATAGTTAAATAACTTTTAACAATGAATTGAAAAGTAATAAACATTGTCTGCTAAATAGACTTCCATTTATAAACATAAGTGTACACTACACTGAAATAACAGAAATTATTACTCACTATTGTCCGGGATTTCAAGTAATACTTGCTGAGAGTCTGTTACGAGAAAAAATTATAAACTGGCAAGCCTTTTCAACTAATAAAGAATATGCATGATAAACAATCACCTGTAGTATGCAATGGAGGCTTCTTATTATCTTGGATCTTAGTTTGAGCTACGACATGAGAGTAAATAAAACACAGTTAATATGATCATATCAGCTCCAAAAGCCGTTGTTATTTGTACCATGGATGTTCCTTCCTCCTACGTCGTCGTCCGTGAAATTATTAACAATAAAAAATTTAATTACATTTCACAGAGGTTCCAAGCGCAGGAGGCAAAACAACTGTTCCCGAAAGTACATCACTAACTGTAACGGGTGGTCTATCAAGGTTTGCAACTGCTATTTTTCCTTCTAATTCGGTCTCCTGTTGAGTGACCACTTGCTTTTCTTTCTCATTGCTTATCTCCTCTACAGAAGTCATTCTAGAGCGGCTTTGATTGTTCAGAAGAAATTATTTGAATACAGTATATATTTCATGAGCACGCTATATGCAATGAGAAAATCTTTAATTACGTTACACATCAATGATTAGTTATCCAAATACAGAAAGAAATCCACAAAGTACTGTACGTAATGACAGGATGACAAACGTACTCAATTATGTGGTACAACCAATAAAGGTGCAATTATAACTTACAGTATATATTTTTCACTTTTAATTGTGACGTATATTATAAAGTCTCATAAATAAATATATATTCTATGCAATAGAAGGCTATACGTCACTCAATCATAGTAACATCATTGAATTACCTGGATATCAAGAACATGACCGGAGAATTATGCTATCTAAGTTTCGACTACTGAAATATGGTAAGGATCGACCATGATACCCACAACTATCAAGAGGCAAGCAACTACATACTAAGGAACAATATCAAGCCCTTGAAAAACAATAAAAGTCCAATAGTGAATTCTTAAAACACTATAGGCCCAGGCAGAGCAGGGCAACTGATAAAAATAGTGTCACTAAGTGGCAAAATTAAGAAAGGATTAGAAAATTAAAATAAGGTTATAAGAATAGCTTATATAATCTAAAAATATATTGCTGAATACCTCAAAAAAGTTTTTTCTTGTCAGTTGAACTATTAAAAAATATATTATATATTCTATTTAAAAAATAAAAAAAATTTTTCACGTTCATAAAAATTTTTAGATTATAATAACAATTCAAAGTATAAAAGAAAAATATAATACTTATTGAAAGTTCTTATAATAAATATGACAATAAGACAAATTAGAGCAAGAGATTCAATAGTTATTTATATAGACAAAAAAAATCATCATAGAAAGTAGCAAAATCTTTAAACTGCTCTTGAAAATCAACCTCATAAACAAATTCAATCCAATATTTAGTATAAAAAAAACTTGAACAACAATTAAAATAGAAAAATTTATAAAAATAATAATAAATAACTAGTAAAATGCTCAAGATCAAAAAAGAACATGGAACTTGAAAATATAGAGCAAGACAAGAACACAAATCTTAACATAACCATAAAAAAAACTATTAAAACCATAGAAAAAATAAATACTAAGTTCAAATTATTATTATCAAAGATAATATTATTAACAATAACAATATCCAAGGAAGGGAAGGTAAGTTTAAACAATGCAGGTAATATAATTAACAATAAATTCAGTTACAAGAAGGAGCAGAGATCAAGAATTCCAGAAATAGAATAGATAAACTCTCCAAAAACCTACAATAAATTTCATCTAGAAAAGGTATACGTAGATTTGAATGAAGTATCTAAAATCTCACCTGAAAAAAATCTATCAGATATAAAGAAAACACAAGTATCTATCAATCTTGAAACATATTCATATAAAAAAGCCAATCATATATTCAATATTGTAGCCACTTTTAATAATTATCACAGGATGATAACTATATGTAAGATTCAAATCATCAAGAATAAACTTTTCAAATTTAAACTAGCACCTTAAATTGATACTATCGAATATAAAACCTGATCAACAAATCTAAAATATTCTCAATCACTTTCTGAAAAAAGATATTGTTAACTTTTATCAGAACAAAGTATAATCAAATATATTATTTTACAGTCATTAGGACAAGTTAAATTTGGAATAGTCCAGTTTAGTATACAAGTGTATAAGAAAAACAGGTCCAGAAATGGATAGTATATAAGGATATTTTTTGTATAAAAGTATATCCTATAATAGAACCTGCATTATGAGAAATAAGAGAAATCAATATAGTGCAACACTTGCAAATCTTTCACAAAGAACTTCTATAAAAGAACTGCAAAAAACTATTAAACAGATAAATACATAGGCCTGCTACTTTTTCTTAAACTACTTGAATAAAAACAAATATTTGATTATTCTTTATTATAAAAATGATCAAGACCTAAATAGAACAAGAAGTATAAATTTCTGTCTTCAGGATATAGAATTAATCTAGATAACAAGAACAATTAAACTTTGTTTTGATTGTGATATCTATAATTATAACCATATCTGATGCTCAATAGCAAAGAAAATTCTAGTACAGAAAGATAAAACTAAATGACTCAAATAGTCAAAGCTTTCTTTTTTTAATTCAAATAAACTTTTTCCTTTCAAATAAAATAGAAGATCCAATACTAAACTACTTACATGGAATATACCTATATAATGTGACCAGAAAATTTATCCAATAACAAAAATAGAAAATATACTAATAACCTTTAGACAAGTTTAAGTAAATATGAAAGTTATCAAATACTAAGTACATATGTTGAACAAGAGAGCCTCAACTATTAAAGCAGATCTCTACATTAAAGCCAAAGGGCTAACTATAGTTGACTTACACTTATAATATAAGCTATCTCTAGAAAGCTTAAGTTTTAGAATCCCATCACTCAAGAAAATAGATATTAGACAATAACAAGAAATAATAAATAAAAGAATCAATATGATAGTATCTATAATAGTATTAATTATAAAGAAAATAATAGATTGCTTGGATATATACACTGATAAACAACTACAATAGAACTAATACTCTTTTTTCTTTTAAACAACTATAATTAATAAATCTTCAGAAAACAAAACCTACAAGAGATGAAGAAAAGAGAAGTAGATATTAATAAATCCCAAAATACTTGAAAAATAGAAACTTTAAATGTTAGAGATATCAATATGAAAGCAAATAAGCTAGTAATACTAGAATAATGTTAGAAATAATAAAAAAATATTTAAAAATTACAAAAATCTGGCTACCAGAAAATCAAAAATAGTAATATGAAGAAGAAAATACTAAATTTGGTCAATTAAATTAATACAACAGTTATATAAAACAGAAGTAAGCATTTTAATCAAAAAAAAGTAAACAACATATATTTTCAGATTAAAGGAATATATTAATTAAAATTTCTCAATAAACATATTACTAAAAAGAAGAATCCAATATAGGATCTTAAAAATATATAAAACTTAAATAGATCAAATAAATAAGATAGAAACAAACTTCTATAATGATGCAAAACAAAAATTAGTAACGCAAAAAGCAATAATATGATCATAATAATAATAAGAGATCTAAACAAAGTAGCAAATTATTAAAAGAACTGCATATTAGAGAAAGTAAAAAAAACAAACCCTGGTATCTAATTAATATACTAATAGTATTGTGATCAAATTTATATTTGACCAGTATGTCCAAGTGGAATTGCTTTTAAAAGGACAATTCCCAAAGAAAGAAT